ATCGCATATGCTTGCAGACTGCATCTCTTTGCAGATCGCATATGCTTGCAAATGGCATATGCTTGCCGACGGCATATGCTTGCAGATCAGGTATGCTTGCAGATCGCATATGGCATGTGCTTGCAGATCGCATATGCTTGCAGATCACATATGCTTGCAGAATCGCATATGCTTGCAGACAGCATATGCTTGCAGATCGCATATACTTGCAGACAGCATATGCTTGCAGATCGCATATGCTTGCAGATCGCATATGCTTGCAGATCGCATATGCTTGCAGACAGCATATGCTTGCAGATCGCATATGCTTGCAGATCGCATATGCTTGCAGATCGCATATGGCATATGCTTGCAGATCGCATATGGCATATGCTTGCAGATCGCATATGGCATATGCTTGCAGGTCGCATATGCTTGCAGATCACATATGCTTATAGATCACAGCACAGCATAGCATAGCATAGCATAGCATAGCATAGCATAGCATAGCATAGCATTGCGCAGCATAGCATAGCAATGCGCAGCATAGCATATGCTTGCAGATCGCATATCGCATATGCTTGCATATCGCATATGCTTGCAGATCGCATATGCTTGCAGATCGCAAATGCTTGCATTTGGCAGATGCTTGCATTTGGCATATGCTTGCAGATCGCATATGGCATATGCTTGCAGATCGCATATGTCATATGCTTGCAGATCGCATATGTCATATGCTTGCAGATCGCATATGCAGATCGCATATGCTTGCAGATCGCATAGTGGAATATGCTTGCAGATCGCATATGGCATATGCTTGCAGATGACATATGGCATATGCTTGCAGATGACATATGCTTGCAGATCGCATATGGCATATGCTTGCAGATCGCATATGGCATATGCTTGCAGATCGCATATGGCATATGCTTGCAGATCGCATATGGCATATGCTTGCAGATCGCATATGGCATATGCTTGCAGATCGCATATGCTTGCAGATCACATATGCTTGCAGATCGCATATGCTTGCAGATCGCATATGCTTGCAGATCGCATATGGCATATGCTTGCAGATCGCATATGCTTGCAGATCGCATAGTGGAATATGCTTGCAGATCGCATATGGCATATGCTTGCAGATCGCATATGGCATATGCTTGCAGATGACATATGCTTGCAGATCACATATGGCATATGCTTGCAGATGACATATGCTTGCAGAAATCATATGCTTGCATATGGCATATGCTTGCAGATCGCATATGCTTGCAGGTCGCATAT